CAGCCCCTGTTCTTGGGGGGAGGCGGTCAGTGGAGGTCTCTAAATGCCCATGGAGAAGGGGGCTGCTCCTCACCTTCTGCAGGGTCCAGCTCTGGGGGCAATGCTCAATGCTGCCAGGATGGGCCCAGCAGGACTCTCCTGCTCATTCCAGGGCTGCGGCACCGTAGTGAGCTTCCCAAAAACAGAGCCCTATGATGGCAGCATCCTAGAGCACCCTGTGACATCCTCATCCCTGCCACTATTGAGAAGCAGCTCACAAGGGAGCACGCACCCCGGGTGCAAGCACAGGTACAGACTGCTTGCGCCACACACTCCCAACAGGCATCGGTGCGAGAGACAGCAGCCCAGCCAAACCTTCGCTTTTGGCACTCAGCACCCCAGGGTGGTGTCACATCACTGCACTGACAACTCACCCGCTGTGCCAGAGGGACAGAGCCTGAGGCAGGGGTGGCAGGTCACATAATTCAGGGGAAGAGGAAAGCCTGAGCCCTTACCTTTGCTGGCAGGGAGCAAGGACTGTTGGAGTGACCTTGGCTGGCTCTTCTGGCATCCTCAGCCTTCATTGCTGTATCAGATCCTGCCCCCAGGACAGGGGAGATGATATCTGTGAAGGCACCGGGTGTCACGGTGTTGATGCTGAAAATCATAGGCAGCAGGTAAGAGTGAACAAAGTAGGGGGCTGCTGTGAATACCAGCTCCTGCTCTTCACGGTGAGCTCTAGGGACCGAAGGGACAGGACATGCTGGGAACTGGGACTGTCACAGCCAAGGTCTTTTTCAGTTCGAGCCTTTAATCATTCTGTGCAAAACATGAGGTCTGAGCTTTTGTTCATCCTGAACAGCTTTGGTGGGGAGGCGAGCACCCAGACCCCTGCCACCAGGAGTGGCCTGGTGGGGGTGGTTCCAGCAGCAGGGAAAGCAGCCCGTCACTGGTTTCTTCTTTCATTTCTTCTGCCTATCCCACCTCTGCTCTGCTTGTGCTCTCAGAACATTGCAGAAGCTGCCAACAGCCCCACTACACCAGCAGCACGTGAGATATTCCTGCAAAGAAACATCCTGGTCATGCCGGTGTGTCCATTCCCACGCACACGGGGAGGTGGTGGGCTCGTGGCTGTTAGGGCCACACGGTGTTGTCAGCTGCACCAATGTGGATCCAGGTGGGCTCTGCCAGGCTCTGGGGTCAGGCAGCGTTGATGGTGCTGTCCCAGTCAGCCTGTTCCCTGCCTTGCCCCCAGCTCCCGAGCACGTCTCAGATGCTGGCTTCCCTTCTGAACCCTCTGGTTCTTGGCTGCAGCAGCGACAGACCTCGGGGCTCCTGGCCAGCACCAGGATGTCCTGCGGCCGCTGATGGGCCAACAGCAAATGGTGCCACATCACTGGGGGTGTGAGAGCAGCTGGCGTCTCTGCTCAGAGGCAGTGCAGAGCCACTCTAGGGTTCAGCCATCCCAGTAACCTCAGGACTGTCTTTGAGGACAGAGCCCAAGGGTATGGGGAAGGTCCAAAGGCAGAGGAGCAGAGACCCCCGGATGGGTCATGGGTCTTGGGATCACCCTAAGCAGCAAACCTGAAGCATGTACGGCCCTTGGCAGGACGTGTAAGTGGATGCGGGTGGTTTGACCTTATCCATCTTCGAGTGGCTGAAGAACCTGAACCACGTTAGCTATGGCTGCCTCAGTTTCAACTACGAGCGGGAATCCAGCTACCACTTTCTGCAGCCAGTGCAGCACAGCCTGGAGCAGTGGTTTGGCAAGGCCAGAGGGGAGATCTCCATCATCCCGTCCCCAGAGTTCCAGAACTGTGTGACTGTAAGTGTCTACAGCCATGGAGGGTTGTCCTGGCTCACTTGATTCACATCCCCAGACACTCCTGTCTGCTGTCCCAGCGCTGAAAGCTGAGCTTGTGGCACAGACACAGCCCCCATGCTACCACCCCACTAGTGGAGGGGATGGAGTGGAGCTGCCATGTGTGGTGGTTACAGCTCTACCATTTGAGGGTGCTGCTGGGTGCTGCAGGGAGTCCCTCGGGAGCCAAGCCATATGCTGGAGCCAGCTGCAGAGGTGGCTAAGCCAAGCTTAGACCACCTGTGGTGGTCTTGCGCTGAGCAGAGGGGCTGTGTTTGATAAATGGGTTTGGGGGACCAACCTCTAGCTTCTACCACAAAGGATTCACTTGTTCTCAGAGAAAGACCTACACCATGGAGCAGTCAGCCAAGGTACCTCCACAGGCTCCTGGCCTCTCCCATCCCTGCTGTCGGGCCCCTTGCCTCGTTGCACAGAGGCTCTGTGCTGTGATTGAGGGGTGCCCACCCTCAGCACCCCATCACCACTCCCGGTGGGTCAGCACGAGGCCTGGCTTCATCTTGCCAGTGGTGGCTATGTCCACACTTTGGGTAAAGCCTCGTGCTCAGCAGTGTCCCTTGTTGCTGTTGGGTCCCTGTCCCTCTCTCCATCCCCCTGAACCTCTGTTCCTCATTTCCAGGGTTGCTTAGATGAGCCAGTGCGTGCAGGGTGGTGCTGGCACTGCTGGGGGTGGGGGTCTCACGTCACCCCTCGGGGAACTGGCTGCATGCCATGCTCAGCAGTGTGAGTGGTGTGCGTGGAGCCCACCCATGGGCACAGGGTCTGTCCCCAGGGGACAGAAGTGGGAGAGCATCTCCAGACTCACCCGTAGATGACTCCAGGTCTTACAGAACAGCCCGCTTGGTCGTTTGGTATGGAGGTGACCTCCTGCCCTTCGGGTGCTCCCGGAACGTGGCTTGGTGCTTGTGCCTTCCTCCCTGGGTCCTCTGCCCAACCCTCGGCCCCCAGACACTCCCGGCCACACGGCGGCCTCGCAGCTCTCCTCTCTCTCTAGCAAATTATTGCAAGGTGCAACCTGGACCCGGACCAGAGAGCCCTGCCTGCCTGTGCGCTCTGGAGGTGTTCACTGTGTGCAGCGAGGCCAGCTTCACAGCACCCGGCCCCGGGCGCCACTGTCAGCACACGGCGAGGGTCACAGTCCAGCTGCGCCAGGGTGCCCGGGACACCGCATGCTGCACAGAGGGGGCACCCCGGTTTCTATAGATGGTTGGTTTGAGCATGTCCTCTCCCTGCTGCCTGGCTCTCAGCTCTCCCGGGAAGGGGGCTGTTTTCCCCTGCTGCCCCAGCCCCTTTACAGCCTCCTGGGCACTGAAGGAAGACGTGTGGTTGCTGGTTTGGGTCTGCTTGCCCATGGCTGGCAGAATTGGACGAGGGGAGGAAAAAATGCAATTAGCTCTAGGGGAGGGGACAGCCCATGGCACAGCCAGCCACAGGAACAGCCGTCTTGGTCCATTTAATAACACACAGTGGGTGCTGCAAGCACTGCTGCAACTCGCGCAGACACGGGGAGCAGAGCCAGGGCAGGGATTTGCAGGCATCAGCAAACCTGTTGTGTGTCTGTGCTGACTGCTGCAGCTTCACTCGTTGCTGGCAAAGCTGGCAAGCCAGCATGGGTGGGGGATTTAATCTGCTGTTCTGGCGAGGAGACTCAGCACAGCCTCTCACCCCAGCCTGTGCTGCAGCCAAGGGGCTGGAGGCTGGCTGGGGACTCAAGCTGGGTTGGTGGCCCTGCCCTAGGGGAGCTGAAGGCCCAAGGACTGCGCTCTGGGGTGGGCACGGGACCCCCTGCTGTGGTGGACATGGCTTAGTGGTGTGTGGCAGTCACCTGTCCTTGAGGTGGTCACACCACAGCTGAGCGAGCCGCGGGTGCCAGCCATGTCCCCAGCCCCTTGAGGGGAGCAGGGTCACATAGGAAGGTGGGGACAGCAGAGGAGAGGCTCTCCTTTGCTCTGTGCTTCTAGCACAAGATCAGGGCGCGTCCCTAGAAGGTACCTTACAAACAGCAGCACCTCCTGCTGCAGGGAGGGCTGGGGGAAGCCTGCGCCCAGCGCCTGAATCCCCTCTGCTAGCACAGCCAGCATCTCCTGGGAGGTAACCAGTGCTTGAGCCCAGGACTGTGTCTGTCCTTGTCCTGGCTTGGGGTCCTCAGCCCCAAAGAGCAGATGCAAAGCACTGCACACAGGCAGGTGGCACGGGGACAGAGCGAGGCTGGAGGCCCAGGGCACAGTGACCTGCTGCTGGCGCAGCAGTGAGCAGACAGGAAGGCATCTTGTCCTCACGAGGAAACAGTCCTGCCTACTCCCCCATCCAGAAGGGGTCAGCTAGTCTGCCCCAGCCCCTCATTCCTCTTCCCAAAACTACCCCTGCCGCCAGAGTGCAGGGCGACCCCTCTCCCCAGGGAACCCACAACCAGGACCAGGGGGCTACAGACGAGAGTTGGCTTTATTCACGGACACGGGGGCAGCTGTGTCACTGGCAGCTGCCCTCGTATTGCACATCCAGCGACAGGGGCGGGGGGATATCCATGCCACGTCACAACACAGCGTCGGCACTATGGGACCTTGGGGGGCTGTCCCCAGCCAGCAGGCTGGGGAGCAGGCCTGGGCACCAAGGGTTCACAAAGGCAAGAGACCCGTCCACCCATAGATAGAGATATATATATATAAAAAAAAAAAATACTTCCACGATGACCAGAGCAGAACCACAGGGACACGTGTGCAAGCAAAATGTACAGCAGCCCGCGAGCAGGTAAACATGCTTTGTACAACACAGACACACCAGGACACAGCCAGGGTTTATGGCGCTGGGAGGGATACAGAGCGATAAACCCGGGCTTCACGGACGGACGCACGGACGCACGCACACACACACACCAGCCCCTGCGGGCAGCGCCCACGGCTCGGGCACACACCGGGGCTCGGGGGCTTGGACACGGCGGGTTTTTCTCACTGCTAGACAAGGTACAGAGACATGGACACAGTCCCTTGGAACGGAACTGGAGGAAGAACTCGTGAGCGAACGGGGCAGGGGCACCCCTGCTCCTCCCCGGCACGTGGACACCGGCCAGGGCCGGCTGGGGAGGAGCAGGGGGCTACCGGCGGTTCGTTGTGCTGCTGGTGGAAGAGGCGAGGATGGGGGTCCATTATGCCTCTGGCTCGTATTCCTGGTATTCCTCCTGTGGGGTGGGGAAAGAAAGAACCGGTGAGAGAGCCGAGGTGGAGCACGGAGCCCCTGTGTCCCCCAGCCCCATGCCAGCCTGCCTGTGAGGCTGCAGGGCTACGTGCAGTGGCACCTGGGAGCAGGCAGGCTCCAGGCTTTGCTCCAGAGAGCGATGGCCACCGGCACACGCGGCTCAACCAGCGGCTCCTCAACAGCCTCCTGGGCCACCTCCTCCGGCTGGGGGTGAACCGGGGTGTCAGTCCCACACACACAGCCCCCCACACAGCACCCACCCTCCCTACCCCTGCCAGACCAGGGGCACCTAGCAGAGACCAGCAACACACCCGCGATGCTGGGGGCTTCAGATGGGGGTCCCAGCAGGCGATGGCTGGCAAGGGCACCCCAGGCATGCACCAGCTCTGGCCCCAGGTAGGTGATGGGTGCTGGCACCGTGTGGGCCCTGGCGGGCTCCAGGCACTGGCGGGGCCATGGGTGCATCCTGCATCCCTGGCAGGGCAGGTTGGTGCTGGGTAACCCCTCCCTGGGGCCGGCAGAGCAGCTGGCAGGAGGGAAAGGGGGACGGCCGACCCCCCCGGGGAGCAGCGG